AAAATCTTCAACTTTCTTAGCCAGAATTACTACCTGATCAACAAGAAAATTACAATCCTAGTAAAGAATATGAAAGTGACTATTTTGAATGCATCGGATACGATGAAGATTACACTGATCTCGCTGATGAAGAATTCAAGCATCTTGACTTCTCTTTTTCTCTTCTTCTTCTTGGGACATGATTTTGCAAAATGCCCTTTTTGTCCACAAAGAAACCATCAGTCTCTTTTCTTGAATTTTGGAGATCTTCTCTTGAAGTATCTAAAAGGCCTTCTTCTTCTTGACTTTCTAGGAAACTTGTATCTTTTGAAGTTGGATTTCTTCTTGTAAGTACAGTCACAATTCTTCTTATGTTTGCACTTGATGCGAAAATAAGAATGATCACAGGCTAGTTTGAACTTAGCATTTCCTTTCATCATTGCTTTAAGGAGTCTCTGCTGATCACATAGTTTATCCAACATGGCCAGTGCAATTTGATAGATCTCTCCCAAAGAAAGTTGTGAAACTTCCTTTTGAAGGGATGCTATCATGCAATGAAGTTCTGGCTGGAGTTCATCAGGTAAGGATGCAATGAAGACATGTCTTAATTATGGATCTTCATATCCTCGCAAGAGATAGTATTTTTCAGACATTCGAGAAAAATACCTCTGCAAATATCTTTTATCTAAAGAGCAATACTTTATTTCAAGTATTCCTGATAATGTCTTTTCAAGATAACATTGAAGTCTTTTAAGAATTCTCTGTGAATAACACTAAGAAATGTTCCAAGGCTATCAGATCCAAGAAGCTGCATGCAAACATAATGATTCATCTGGGTAAACTATTCTCTCAAAGAAAATAATGCTGGAAACAAATTCGACAGTAACTTGTCTAAGAGTGATATCTATCCTAGTCACTTGAACATCTTGCTATGCTCCAAACTCATGTAAGAGGTCCCTCTATTTATGTGGAGGGAGGTCATCAAAAGTAAACAAAGGACTTGAAGATGGTCTATGGTTATGCTAATTAGTATGTGCAATCTCTCCTGAACCTTCATCTTTAGAAGAGGGATCTTCAACAATAGGATTAGTGCTCTTCAGGAGGTGACTCTCTTGGTTGATCTACCATAGCAATTTTTGATAAATTAGCAAGGCATTGTTTTGTGGAATAGCTCTCAGCTTCTGATTGGGACAGAGTTTTTTCTGTTGTGGTTTCAGTAGAAGTGTCTTCAAATATTTCATCAGAGGAAGGGGAGTTGTATTGATGTTTATTGAGAAATGAAATAGATCTGGTAGAAGTAGGGGTAATGACAGGAGATTTTCCTCCATCTTGTGGATTAGATGGTTGAGGATTAGAGGTTTTTGGCAGAGAGGAAAGAGGGGTTCTTATAATCAAAGGTTCTTGAGGTCTGATATGTGAGAAGGTAGGACCAGTGTATGCAGGGGTTGGATATGTTGGAGTAGGTGAAATGGCTGTAGTGAGAGGTTGGGTATTCAGAGAATGAGAATGAGTAAATCTTTTTCTTGGATGGCTTTTTGGGTTCTTTGAGATGTTGGGTGTACTAGTAAATGGTTCTAAAGACATTGTGATAATTTGTTTCTGGAGGCTTATAGGGAGTATAATGTGTAGGTGGTGGCAGAAGCTGTGGATATGGGGAAAATGATGTTTCTATTGGTGGTGGTATATAAGGCTGGTACTGCTGCTGGGATTAGGGGTGTTCAATTGTGTCCTGTCCCAGTATCTCGTCCCTGTCCCAGTCATTTTGAGATGGGACAGTCCTGTCTCGAAAGCTTTTGGGACGGGACAAAATTGTTTCGGGACAGGACGGGACATGGGATAGGGGTGTCCTGTCCCGGTCCCATCCCAATGTATTATCTTTATTTTTAGTTGTTATATATTTATTTTATTTACTACTGTAATAGCATTTTGGTAATGATATTTATCAATTGTTATTTTTTATTTGTTTATAAGTTGTTTTTGTATGAGTTCCATGATATTCTTTGTAGTAAATATTTTAGGTTTGTTTATTCTTTGTCTTTCATGATTACAAAAAACATTTTTCTTTGTCATTATTTTGTCATTTTTATCTATTTTCCTCACATAGTTTTTATTATAAGTTTTTACATTTCTTCTACAGTTAGTTTTCAAATTAAAAAAAATTATAAAAAAAAGAGATGGGACGTCCCTGTCCCGTTCCAGTTATGTCCCATCCCAATTATCAGGACCGGACTAGGACGAGGTCGTCCCTATCCCATCTCGTCTCATGAACAGCCCTAGCTGGATTATTGTTTTAGACCTTCCTCTAAGTGCCTCAAATCCTTTTGGATTTTTGACAGTTCTTCCTCTTTCCAGTAGAACTCTGGGCCAAAATATCTATGATCTATATAAGCCCTTAATTCTACATCCAATTGTTGAGCTTCAGAGGCTAGCTAAATGAGATGCCTCTTGATTTCTTCAGAAATACTATCAACCTGAGTGATTAGGTTTTCAATTTTAAAGAGAGATGATCAAGCTTTAGAATCAATCCGATGAAGAAATCTGTTCACAAAATACCAAAACGCACTTATTATATAAAAATATCTTAAGATACGGGCTGAATACTTTTAGCTGAAAAATAAGGTTCTCGTTTCAGAATGACCATTGCAAATCACACACAAAACATTTGGCAATAACTTCATTATTATAACAAAACCCAGAAAAAGAACCTTTATTATTATAGATTTATTCTGCTTAAAATTTCGAACTCTATGCAACACTACGCTCTTGAATGCTTAAATTCTGCATCCAAAGCCACCAAATGTATCCCCCCCCCCCGGGTGCTTCGAACTTTGTCCCTCCTTTCATTTTTCATCATGATGAGTATGATTAATTATAAATTTTGTCTTTCATATATACTAGTCAAGTGGGCTTATTAAACATTATACAAAACTTAAAGAAATAAGGTGTTTATTAACAATGATACTGTTATTATCAATAGATATTGACATATACATATAATTGGTATTGATTTTTTATTTTTCATGGGCAAATTGATTAAAAATAACCGTTTGGAAATTTTATTAGTTATAAATATTTAAACTCAACTATTGGTATTTTTTGTGCACGAAAATTTTTAGAATACCACTAATTTTTTTGTATATAAAAATATGTTGGGTTATTGACCAATAAGATTTCTGAACAAGCATTTTTAATTGATTTTTTTTTGTACTTTTATATTGATATCCATTGAATATTGTTTGGGGAAAGTCTCACCAAAACATTTGAAATTATTAAATAGCAAATAAAATTTTTTTAATAAAAATATAGTGTTATTTGCAAATTAAGTGTTGAAAAACCTAAAGTATGAGAACTAGACTTAATTTGAGATTTAATAATTTTAAATTTTTTAATGAAAATTTTCTCATCACTTAGAGGGAAAATAAAAATTAAAAGTTAAAACTTAAAACTAAAACTTAATTACATTGGTGGTATCAGTCCAAAGGCTGTACCGCTGTATCCGTGTGAGACGTCACGTGTAAAGCTGTCTTTCCCACTGCCTACTGAGAATCAATTTTTTCAGCTTGAGGGTGAACAATTATATATAAGCATGCATCCAAACTTCGGAAGATAAAGAAAGCGCTGGAAGCAAACATCTCAGTAAAACCCTACTAAGATTGTGACTTGTGAGTTGGCTCCGCAATTCTGAGATTAATTGAAGAAGTCAAGTTCCAGATTTTCGCTGTTGAGTGTCTTCCCTGAAAAGAAGAATACCAATGGCGACTGCCCCAGCTTCAGCGGAAGGAGAAAAGATGTCTCTGAAAGATCAGGGCAATGAGTTTTTCAAGTCAGGAAAGTATCTCAGAGCCGCAGCACTTTACACCCAAGCTATCAAGCAAGATCCTTCAAACCCTACTCTTTATAGGTACCTCCTTGCAAATCTTGTAACTTTATCGATTATCGACTGTTTTGTGGTTTCATGGCATGATTGATCGCGTGTTCCAAATCGTACGCGACATTCTTTTTGTTGATTTAGTTTATTGTGGCGTATTCTTGGTCTTAACTGGATTGAATTGTTGAGTTTCAAATTGTTATCCTCTTCTATATGCGCATTGCTGTTTTGTTGATCTGGGTTCTCGGTTCACTTTGGTTAAATTTGTGAGTTCGTTGTCTAAAAAAAAATATCGGTGGCTGCATTAGTGGTTTTTTTTTTCTTTTTTTCTTTTTTTGGGTTAGTCGGATTTTAGAACTTTTAGTTCCAGTTTGCTGCAGAGTATCCGCAGAGGAGAGCCTCTGGTTCCTTCCAACCAGGTGGACTATGTAAAGTAAAAATGACTCAAGTGAGCTAGTTTATCTGATTTGAGCCAAGAGAGGAGCAAAAGAGTAGCCTCTTGGGTTGGTGGACTTCAAGGCACAATTTCCATTTTATATTTTGATGATTGTACAATGTGAGACATATCGTGGCACACTTATTTTGAGAGCTGGAATTTTGTGACAAACCACTCTTGGTGGTGTTTGCTTGTTTTCTCTGGTTGTTCTGGATGCTTTTCATGCAGTTCCTTCCCAGTTCCTACTATGGAGATTTCCCATGTAGGCAGCTTTTGCTTTAGTGGGTCTTGGACCCTTGGGTTCCGGGTAACCCTCTTCCAAGTTGCTCCTTCTAAGTTTGTTCTTTCTGTATCAGTCAGCTTTCAATTAAATCGCCACTTAATGCAATGCAAGTGTCCATCCCGAAATATTGGTCCATTGGGTGTGAGAGCTTGGGAGTACCGCGTTATGTGTTGATTGTTGTCCATATCACTTGCACTCAGTATTATAATGGACGAGCTTTTCCCCCTTGTTACAGAAATTAACTGTTATCTCATGAGTTCTGGCCTATTTCTGTCTAGGCGTTGGCATTTCTCATGAACTTCTAACAGCCACAGGGGATAATAATTCTGACATTTGTTACTAAGTTGAGTTTGAAGTGCAATAGCATGCAGCATTGTCATCAAAGAATTTATCTAATTCCCCTAGTTAGTTTTTTGATGCAAATGGGCTCCCTTATTATTTTGACATTAATTTTCTGTTAATGCTGAGACCTATAAAATTTTCATAGCTTCTGTTTTAACTTTTTTTGAGTGAGCCGCTTCATTCACTGCATCAGGTATAATATATACCAGCGATGTGGCAAGGCATAAATAGTTTCTGTTAAAATAAAATGTGTTTGGTGTATTTTCCAGTTAATGATTTGTTTGTTCTTATGCATTTTAAAGCGGTAGTTTGTATCTTCATGTCTTTCAACGATGAGACATGTTCCATGCCATGCATGCCAATAAAAAGCATCTTGCCCTGATGAAATTTCTGTACATTGTCTACCAGTAACCGTGCAGCTGCATTGCTGCAACTGGATAAGCTTACGAAAGCTCTTGAGGATGCTGAGATGACAATAAAACTAAAACCTGAATGGGAAAAGGTAAACGTATATCAGATTTCTTTAAGCCTGATTTTGTTTGAAGATTATAATAGAAATAATAATATGCTCTGCGGTGTTACTTGAATTCACTTCCAGGGGCATTTTAGGAAAGGATGTGTACTTGAGGCCATGAAACGATATGATGATGTACATTATGCAGCCTTCCTTCCTATTTGCTTCTGATTGGACGCTGTGTAAGTCCCTATAATTTTGGGTTTCTTCTTCTAATGCACCTAGCTTTTCAATATTTGTAGGCCTTAGCTGCCTTTCAGATGGCTTTGCAGTATAACCCACAGAGTCAGGAAGTATCAAAGAAGATAAGGAAGATAAACCAGCTAGCAAAAGATAGAGATCGAGCACAAGAAGTGGAGAATAAAAGATCTAATGTTGACATGACCAAGCATTTAAACATATTGAAACCTGAATTGGTTAGTATTGTTTGTTAATTTAATGAAATATTGTTGGTTTATTCTCTGGAATGCTTTATGTGCATGTACATTTTCTAGGATGCACTTTTGCATTAATTGATCTGTATTTGTGGTTTCTGAGATGTTTTGTTTTATCCGTTTCAACTTTGGGTGGCTTCTCATTAGCATATATAAGATGGTAAGGACTAAAGTAATTAATACGCCCTCATATATCATGCATTCTTTTGAACACTTCTTAAGTGACTATTTGTCTTCCTCATACAGTCTGGAAAGTATGGATCTGAAGAATGCTGGAAAGACTTGTTTTCTTTCGTTGTTGAGACCATGGAGACAGCTGTAAAATCATGGCACGGAACTCTTCTACCGTGGATCCTAGAGTCTACTTCCTTCTTGATAAAGAAAAGACACAAACTGATAAATATGCCCCAGTTGTTAATATTGATAAGGTGAAAATTCTTAATTTTAAATAGAATTCTTGTTGTGGTATTCATTGTTTTTCCCCCCTTTTGGTCCCCTTTCCTTTATACACTCTCTTCTAAAGAGACATGCACACGTGCAATTTAGCTTGTTCTTTCAATGGTATTCTTTCTTTGATGGCCATACTCTTATGTCGTCTGGTGTATCAGGCCTTTGAATCACCACATACACATGGAAGCTGTTTTTCATTTCTGAGGCAATACGCCGAGGACTCCTTTTCCAGAGCAGCTTGTTTGGTTGTTCCCAAAAGCATAATTGCTTATCCGCAGGTAAATTTTGATTTCTTAATGCATTTGAAAGTTTGGAATTGATTGGTCTAAAGGAGAAAAGATTTTGTGCAAGAATTGCCACTGCTAATTGCATACTTCTGTGGGTCTCAGTAGGTGGTGAGGTTACTGATACACTTTTCTTTGTAAAACATTGTTGCCATTTGTTTTCCTCTAAATTGCTAACTGGAAACCCCTTAGATTTGATGTGGCCATAGATTGATTTTTTTTTTTTTAACAGTCCAGACATAGCGTCTCAGTTGCAACAAAATATCGAAGTTTACATTCTGTGTTTGCAGGTCTGGAAGGGCCAAGGATCAAGGAGATGGAAACATGGGCAGAATGATGGTTTCTTTGTTCAATTTGAGTCACCTTCGCTAAGAAAGCTCTGGTTTATTGCCAGTTCCAATGAAATGGGGCAGACATTATGCAGGTTTTTCTTCTGCCCTCTCTCGATTGCAATTTGCAGCGTATTCAATGAAAATATAATCTAGTAACTTATAATGGGTAATATTGTGGAATTAACAAGTAAATTTAGGAAAGGTTGCCAACTTGCTATAATAAGTTTTTATTCTCTTCTTATTTTTGGATTGCCTACTTATTTTTTTCTTCCAAATGAATTTATGCGATAATAAGCAGGTAAATGTCAGAATTTTATTTCTGGTGTATTTGTTTTATTTTTTGGGATGCGGAAGAGGAGATGGGAGCCTAGTAGGAGTTATGTTCTTTACCACATGTGGCTTGAAATTTGGGAGATATCTTTGATCAGCCTCGGTCTGATTGTGATGGAACCCTCAACTCTGCTAAGCTTGAATTTAAAAAAGAAAAAAAGAAACCAGAAACAGACAAGGGACAGTGCGGGACTGATAATGCCATTCCTGAATAATAGAGTTGGATTACAAGGGAAATAATGGTTCAAGCCAATCCCATCTCCCTCACGCACCTATACACAGAAATTACAATCAAATAACAGTTACAGAGTACAAGGAACAGCACAAAATACACATCACAGAACGGCAATACGGAACATAAGCCCCTGGACTTTCAAGTGGCCAGTTCGTGCCCAAACAACCTTCACTAACCTAAAAACAGAACTCCCCCGTCTGAAATGGAGGATTTAAAACACAAAGTTGCAACATTACTGCCCTCACCCCTAGCTGCAGCTAATTCGTGCTCATATCTTTTCCCTTAATGCCAAGATCCATAGGATAATCTCATCGACATGCAGTATATCCGCATAAAATGTTGTGAAACAATACTACACTTTTGTTACTTACCCTTGCTTCATGATGCGAAGTATTCATGTTTCTTGTCCACATACTTGTGATAAACATATTGCAATTTTCTTAAAACTTGTTTGTAGTTTGTATCCTAAAATAAATGCCAAACTTAATTTTTCTTAAAAGAAAATTCTTATATAACTTGCTTGAATTCCTGGGCTTGTGATGCATAGATTTGTTGCATGAATCTTGTTTTCAAGCATACTATTCAAAGTATTTTTAGAGCATTGTCATCAGCCTTCAGGTGGGTTTGGAAAATTCCATATGCATCCACGAATCGTGAGGCTTTTAAGAAATCTTACAGGAATGGCTCATGTTGTACTTAAAGCAGAGGGTCCTTAGGCTACTGATATTCATCTGATTTCTCCAATGCCATGATACTCGAAAACTTGTTAAATAGTATTGTGCTGTTACATTGTGTTTGACACAAGTTTTCAATCCATGTTGAGCATAGACATGAAAATGACTCCTTTTGTGAAATGCATGTACTTATTGTTAATAATAATATGAAGACCTCGCTGTTGAATGCATGTTCTGTTTGGATGAAGAGAGAATGGGAGAAGAAAAAATGTAGGGAAGAGAAAAAGTGGAGATTAAATGTTTTCTTATGTTCGGATATCCAAGAAAAAAAAATGACTAATTTCACAGTGACAATATTCATATGAAAAGGTGTAGGTTCCATGTCTCTTCTCTCTCCTTTAGAGCAATTTTGGCAAGCATGTTTCTCTCTAAGCCTTTCCGGTTTTGGAAAGTGTTTGGACCCGATGCCTTTTTTCTCTCTCCATAATATTTTTCTCTCTGTTCGAACATAGGATTGGTGTGATATTATGCTTAATTAAGGTTTTTGACAGACAGACAGAGCTCCTTTCTCATTGAGCGTTTGCGTCTGAGTTTTGGCGAGACAAACATTGAGATTTATAGTTTTTTTTTTCCCCCCCTGGTGTGTGTTCTTTTCAGGGACCCAGAAGTCTTGGACATTGGTGCTCATGAAGTTCTTCCACGTTTATTCAAAGAAAAGCTGCCTAGTTCTTAGCCCTTTACCATCATTTGGTTTGTGCTTTTTTTTTCCCCTCTGGGAACACAAAGAACTACAGGTTCATGGGAATTGTGCAGTTCCCCAGAATACCGAGATGATACAAATGTCTTGTAGGGAAAATTTTGGAATATAATGCTGGCTATATCATGATGATGATGAAGCTTCTTTTTATCGGATAGATCCCTCAACTTTTCATTATTCCTTGAAACAGTCCAGGCCCTTCAAGTTGCAATTCATATTCTGGTGATTGGGGGACTCTAGCCCTTTGTTTATTTCAGATAGAGTTTCTGTAATATTGAAGTCTTTGTTACATTATTATTAGCGTTGAGAATTACTTGTATTCTGAATGTTTTGATAGGATGGACCTTTGATTTGGCTTGAAATTTTGTTCACAAACGTGCTTCGCTGAAAATCACTTGTAAGAAGAGATTGACTCAAATTCATCTCAATTACAATTCAGAGTTGTATACAGCAAGTGTATTTTTAAAGAGAATGAATATTGAAGTTTTTATATAATGATAACCGTACTATTCCATGTGTGATAATATATATTGCTTCTAATTTCAAGCAAAGCAGAGAATTTGAAGTTCATAACCAGACCATGTCAGGGGAAAAAAAAAACTCAATAATCAAATAGACATGTTAAGAATTTTAATAAGAATTTGTTGGCCATGGTCAGTGAGTAGTTTGGGATTCAATGCTCAATACAATGATATTTGCGCCATTCAAATTTCATTTAAACAGTACTCCCTCCGTTCCTTATTATAAGAGACACTTGATGCTTATGCCATGTTCCTATATATAAGAGACACTTACAAGTTGTCTCTACTTTTTTGTGTTGATTTACTATTTTACCCATATTTATTATCTCCAACTCACACTCTCTCTCCCTTCCACTTCTCTTTTTCTTTTAATAATTTAATTGTTCTCTCTCATGCTCTCTCTCCTTATTAATGAGGGCATTTTTGGAAAAAAAATTATACTTTTTATACATTAATTGTTCTTAACTAACTTTAACTGTTTTTTTGATCAACGTACTTCGGTTATTTGTCTCTTATAATAAGGAACGGAGGGAGTATAAATTTAAGGTTTTTAATTTATAATTTTTAAACAATAAATTATATTTTGAGGTTACAATTAAAAAATACTTAGATTTTACACATGGAAATGAACCCCCCCCCCCTTCAAAAAAATGATTCCTTCCTCACAGTATGCTCAATTGATTTTGGCATAAAAACCTGCTAAGAATATAAAAAGTAAACGACATTTGTTCTGGAAGAAAAAATAAAATAAAATAAATGATTGATATCCCTTGATTGATTGATTGATCCTTAACTGAGAGATTCAAATAATTGTCTTCATAGGACCCAAAATTGTAACTCAAACAAAAATCCAGAATATTTCTGGACGTTATTATTGCCTTTGTGGTATTGTAATTAAAACCATACGTCCATGCCCATAATACAAATTGAAAGAAATAAAATCACAAGAGGCATTTGACAACAAAAGAATGGGCATTCTACTAACTTCTCCAAATCCTGAACTGAAACAAATCAAAGAATAAATGAACAAATCTATGATCAACCAAAATTATCAACATCCACGAGTTCCTAATCAGTTAATCTCCCGCCAAAACATTAATCAACAAGTTAATAATCATTATCCTACGCGTTAATAATAAGACTGTCCAAGATCAGTATTCCAACCATGGAAGAATCATTACTGATTGTGATGTCATTCCAGGAATCCCAATCCCAATCCCACCCTTGATCAGTCGCAACCACATCGTCATTCATCAGAGAGGTGGACAAACACTCCTCGGCCGTCGTCTGCAGCGGCGGCACCGACGAGGAACTGGCCAGCAAAGCCGCCGTCTCCTTCTTCTTATTCTCCACCGCAGCAACCAGATTCTTTTTTAGCTGTTCAATTCTTTCCTTGAACTCCACAACTTCCTTCAAACCCATCTCCCCAACCGAGCGGTTCCACCAAGACCCGGGACCAGAACTCGACCCGGGAATATCAGCCATTGCGTTCAGAGATTTCTTCTCGTCATCCAGTACCCTCATTGCCTCCTCGTATTCCCGCCTCAGCGACGATACCGCCGATTCTTCCTCCCATTCATGACCAACCGACGCGGGGTCCGAGGAAGAAGAGAATGTGCCGGAGAGGTAGCGGCGGATGACCGAGTCGGGGTCTGGGAAGCCGGAGGAATAGACCTTGCCGTGCTGAGAGAACACTACGACGGCGATTTCAGAGTTACAGAGGAGGGATAGCTCGGCGGCTTTGCGGAAAAGACCCAACTTGCGTTTCGAGAAGGTGACGAAACGCTTGCTGGTTTGCTCCACTTTCTTGATCTCGATCTTGCGCCTTCCTTTGCCTGGGTTTTTGGTTGATTTTGTAGAAGTGGAAGCCATTGCAACGAAACAGAGAGCTTTATCAGCTATGGAGCGAACAGAGCGAGAGGAAGAAGGAAATTGAGAGAGAGGGATTGAAGTTTCCGAAAATTGAAGATGATTTTAGATTTTGTGATCGTTGGAAAGTAATTATGAACTCAGCTTTGATTTTAATTGTGATTGAGACACACAAATTTTACCGTTCCTGTTTCCTAATATGCTTTCTTTCCCACCAAGTCTTTGTTCTTCGCAATCTCCCGCCCCCGCGGTTTAAGTTCTTGTCTTTTTCTTTTTCTTTTTCTTTTTTAATTAAATATAATTTTGGTCCTAAAAGTTTTCCTTAATTATTATTTTGATTCCTAAATTGGAGTTTGTAATAACTCAACTCCAATAATTTCTAAATTAAAGACTTTCAAATAATCTGGCATTAGATGTCAGTGTGCGTGATAAAATTTATAAAAATTTAAATTAGTTTATAAATTATAAATAGTAACTTATTTTTTCATGTTCCATTCAGTGAAGTTAAAAAATGTACTTTTATTCTAGTTAATTAATTTGAGTAAATTAAAGAAATTAGTTAAATTATTTATCTATAATAAATAAGTGTCGTCTCCCTAAAAATATTCTTACTAACTACTTCTTCGGTCCTAAATATAAGACCTTTATACATACTAGTAGAATGGTCTTACACTTAGAATCGGAGGAGTATGTACTATTTTCAGTCTTTAATATAAGACCTAGTTGATTAATTTAGAAAGATTAAGAAAATCAGTTAAGTTAGTTATTTGCTATAAATATGTATTTTCTTTCCTAAAATACCCTTGTTAATTATATATATTAGCTATAATTACCATTTGATGAAACTTTTAACATGTACAAGTACTAAAAGGACTACTTTGAAAAAATCAATGAATATAAAAGATAAAATGGATTGGGATCTTATATTTATAACCAAATTTCAAGTCAAACAAACTCTTATAATAAGGAACAGAGGTAGTATATTAGCTAGAATTATCATTTAATAAAACTTTTAACATGTACAATTACGATAAGGACTACTTTGAAAAAAAATAGATAAATATGAAAGACAAATATATTGGAGTTTTATATTTAAGACCAAATTAATATTAATTCTATATTAAGGACATGAGGTAGTATTTAATTAAAAATTATAACAAAAATATGACTAAGTCGGGCTCTGGTTTTCTTCTCCTGCCTCTTAAGTATTTCATTTATATTGAATTTGGAAATATAATTTTTATTATCTCATTATGCTCAATTTTTGGAATCAAGAAAGGCAATCAGGCGTTAAGAAGGTCAATTAAAAAAAAGCTTCGGAAAGAGAAATAAGGACGGAAACGGGCGGAATAAACAACCCTGCTTGGAAATATATTACTGGGAAAAAAATTTACACACAGATAATAACCTGCTAAACTGTCTTCCTCACGAAACAATTCGCAAACATGGTCAAATTTTAAAAAGAAAAAACAAAGAAACATAAAAAGAAAAGAAAACAAATCTCTACATAATTGGGTCTTGCAATACAATTGAACATTATTAACCCATGATTGTTCCTGCAAAACTGGTCCCTTTTTGTTTGCAGGAATTTGTTTGGTTAGTAGTACCTTCCTCCATAAGGCTGCAATCATAAACAAACACAAGCAGTGAGATACTAGTATAGCAGAATTTTATGATTATCTCCGGTCCTAATTATAAGAGTTAGTTGACTAATTTGAAGAGATTAAAGAAGTAAGTTGAATTAGCTATTTGTCCTAAATAAGTGTTGTCTTTTCTAAAATATCCTTGCTAATCAAGTATATTAACTAGAACTATCATTGTTAAAAAGGTTACATTGAAAAAATATATATAAATATGAGAGAAAAAGTTGATTGGGGTCTTATATTTAGAACCAAAATGAAAGTCAAATAGGGTCTTATATTAAAGACCGAAGGTAGTAATTGTTATCTCCGGTCCTAATTACAAGACGTTATTTATAGACTATAAACAAAGCCTTATAATTAAGATCATAGTTAGTATTATTTTTTGAACTAGATGAGCACATACTTGCTTCTTGAGATTACAAAAGGGGATCGAACCTATAATCTTCTATTTATAAGACGGTTTTATCAGTTATTATAGTTATAAATAGATGGCTGAGAGATGAACTTGGCTCTTAATAAATCCATCTCTCAATGAATTAAATCGTGTATGATGAAAGAAAGACTGAAAATGTAGAGGAGAATTAGGAGGCACTTACATCAAAAGTAGCAAGGGACTTGCAGTAGTTAGTACTAGTGAGAACAGTACTGGAAGATCCACACTCGCTCTCCTTCAGTGAAGCTGAGGATTTATCAAGCTTGATCATGGACCATGGATATTGGTAGTTATGCGCTGTGGAGCCCACATGAGAAGACGACCTCTGCATTCTCACGGGCCTCGGCACGTTCCTCCCTTCCACTGAAGCCCGTCGTCGGCTTGGCTGCCGCTCAAATGTCTCCGGCGGCCGCTGCTTTGGCGCACTCTGTGACCTTGCCTTGGCTCTAGAAGATTCTGTGTTGGCCATGTAGTTTGGGAACAAAGGATAGTCATGGGACATGACTGATTCTGCATAGGGTGGCGGTTTTGGGAAGGTGAAAGGAAGATGTTTTAGATCTTCGGGCCCGGATATGGCTGAATAATATAGTTGTGGGCTTCTTTGGGCCGTGCTAAAGGAAGTACAGTCCTCAAAGTGCCCACTGTAGTCCCGTGGGCTCATCTCTGTCAAAATTGATGGGCTAGGAGAGGCAGCCCGATGGGCTTCTTCCTTTGGGGAATAGTATGTGATATGGTAATTTGGGTTGAAGTTATTGTTGTTGATGTGGTTTCTTCTCCTTCTAGAGTCACCTTTGGTCTCACATACATCCATTTCCACTATCTTGATGTTCTCTTCCAGGCTCATGTCCATTTCCTACATTAAAAATTTCACAAAAAGAAAGAATTTAGTTAATTTTCATAAAAGATTTAATTAAGGAAAATTAGTAAAAAAATTTCTCACTTCAAAAATTATTGCCCAAAAATACCTAAGGACTCATGTCTTGGAACAGGTATAACTCATTTTCAATTGTCTATAATGTACTTTTAACTATGTATAAATGTTTCTTGCTTTGCACATAATTAAAAATAAATTGCACAGAATTGAAAAAGAATTACTCGCTGAAAATAGGATGCACTTGGATTCTTAAATAAATTTGAAGTACCTTTGCATTCAGCAAATTTCATTTTAATTAATAGGAAAGATCATCAATAGATCAACCATATGTTCCAATTTTTTTTTCTTAAATATTAAACTTTGTTAGAAGACTATACTTAAATTTTAAAATTTAGATTGATAATAAATCTAAGCATAATTTAATAAATCAAATCATAAACTAATTCAATTTAATTTTTTTAAAAAAAAGAAGAACTAGAAAAAAAAAAAACAACCTTTAAACATGTTCACACGTGTTTAGCAACTAAAAAAAAAAATCACATTTCGTCCACCGACTGAAGACCAGACATGGTCAATCTATTCCCATAGCAGATTGACTAGAGTAAGCGAAAGAAACACGGCATTATTCTGCAAATTCATTCACCCTGAGATCATCACCCATTAACCTTATCTATCATTTGAAGACAATTAATGAGGGAATTAAGAAAACTCACATCATCATAGATCTGCGTGAACATGTTTTCTGGTAGCGGTCTTCTGTGATTCGAGTGTCTGTGATTATAGTTCTGATCTTCCGATGAAACCATTCGAATCCTATGAGCTCGAGCTCTTGCCTGTGCCGTCACCAGAGCCTGCATTCTTCTCAACGTATCTGTCGCTTGCTTCCTCACCAAGTGACCCCTCACCAGCGCCTGCAATTTCACCAATCCTCTCAACGCACACAGCGCCTTCCTCGCCTGTCCCAAATTCACCAAACACTGGTTTCAGAAATCCGACTAACAATTTGTGATTCATAATGATATTATCGATGATTTCTATGAAGGATTCCGATGGATTGATGTACCAAGTAAGAACGGAAAACAGATTGAATTTTAATGGCCGCAGCTTCCTCAGCGGTTCTAACGGCGGCAGCCTGTGCGGCGGCATCTGCGGCGGCCAGGGCCTGTCTCATCTTCTGCTGCTCATCGTCAGTAATATCTGTCGGTGAGTTAGTAGCGACAGGGTTTGACTCAGCGGGGGTCGGTGTCGTCGCGGCTGTCGTTGTGGTCGATGAGGCCGAGGATCTTCGGAAGCTCCATCGTCGTTTCTCTTTGGGAGCTGTGGTCGGTGGGGTTCGATCTTGTTCAGGAATGATGTCAGTGGTTTTGGAACATTTGTTGTCTTTGTCCTTGTCTTTCTTGCCGCCGGTCAAGATGCTTCGGAGCCATTTGCTGGTCTTTCCCATGGGTGGGGAAGGAGGAAGCTAACATGGAACAGTGAAGAAGGAGAGAGATGGAGAAGAAAGGAACAAGACGAAATGCAGATCTCTTCTTCTGTGGGAGGCTGTGTGCTGCATAAAATGTGATGCGTTGCTTTCAATCTTACAACATTAATGGCCCAATTATTAAAACTCAGCTCTGTTTTTTCGACAGCCTAATCTCTCTGTCTTCTTTGTATTTATTCGCTGCTGTCCCAGCCCAGCCAAAACGAGTAATATTTGAAGGGTTGGTTTCAAGGAAAATTCGCTGCCATGTCCACAACTTTTTTAGTTTACAAGATCAAGGTTGATGTAGTAGCATGAAGTATTTTTTAATATATGTTGATTTAGGAAAATTACAAAAAATTAGGTAAGCCCATTTGCTGATTAAATTTTCATCTCCAATTTTTATTTTAAATATTGCTAAATCTAATTGAGATATTTTAAAATACGATTCCATCCACAAAGTTTAGGTTCGCAATACTTAGATAGGAAAAACAATTTGCTTGAATATTTATTTTTGTATTTTTACAAAATCATACTCCTCCAATGTAAATATAAAACTCATTTTTAGTGTAATTTTATAATATAAAATGAGTCTTACACTTAAAATAGAAGAATGACATAATTTTTTTGGTGAATGTAAAAATCCATTTTTTTTAAGGACAAGTTGCTCGAATGCATGCATATCAAAATAGCCTTATCTTTATACAAATAAAATTAGCTTGAAAAAGTTCTTTTACATTTTACGAGACAAACTTAATCAATATTTTTATTACTTCTTAGTTCTTACTATCTATTTTTGGTCATTAATATAAGAACTAATTTAATGTTTAATTTGATTTTAAATATAAGATCCTAATTTATTTTATTTTTCATATTTATCTATTTTTTCTCAAGATATCCATTATAGTAATTGCACATGTTAAATATTTCATGAAATGATAGTTTTGACTAATACACATGATTAGTAAATATATTTTAGGAAATACAGTATATATTCATTACAGATAACTAACTTAACTAATTTTCTTAACCTACTCAAATTAATAAATTATTTTTTTTATATTAAGCACTGGAAAATTACTTAAAATAAATTAATCTAAAAGTCGCAATGTGGCATTGTCCATGAAATTAAGGGCCAAATTATTTGTTTTGGATCAAACATTGAAAGAATGAAATCACCTACAAGTAGTCATATGTAGATAATACAATACACGACTTACCTCTAGTGAAAAACTAAAGCCTAGTCACAAGCTGGTGCTTGCAAAATAATATAGGGGAAAAAAAAGGTTTTGTACTACAACAAAGTTTTTCCCTTTATATGGATTCTATGAAAAGTGGTTAAAAAAATGTTACGGCTTAGCGGTAGCATTAAAATATGAATAATACTCCTCCGGTTCTAATTATAAGACCCAATTGACTTATTTGAGGAGATTAAGGAAGTAAGTTAAGTTGGTTATTTATAATAAATAAGTGTTGTTATTCCTAAAATATCTTTGCTAATTAAGTATATTGGCTAAAACTATCATTATTAGAAAGATTATCTTGGAAAAAAATGCATAAATAAAAGAAAAAATGGATTGGGTCTTATAATTAGGACCAAATAAAAAGTCAAATTGGGTCTTATAATAAGGACCGGAGGAGTATTAAATAGTGGGACTTAATGTGTTAATTTTATGGGATCATGAGATTAGGTACGAGGGAGGGAAGAAGGCAGCAGAAGCAACATATTGGAAGAAGGATTCGATGCCTCTGAAAATGGAGATCTGTTTGAGTTCCAATGGCGTCCCCACAGGTAGATGGGAGTTCAGAGCGGTCGACAAGGGTGTTTCCGTAATTTCTGTTTTCAGAAGCCATGTGAGTAGGCCAAGCACTGGAACATGCGCATCCCTTTTAAAATACTCCTTAATTTTTTACATATGGAAAAACATTTTGCAGCTTGGTACCTATTTGTTATTTTTTTTAATTAAAACTTTTAATTTTGTTTTGTTTATGCTACTACTTCCGGTAATTTTACTCCGTCAATACTATTAGCTTCTGTGAAAAGGCGAATGGTATAAACAAAGCAAAATAAAAGATTTAATTAAGAAAAAAATGCATACATACAAAATTAAAAAATTAAAAAATATAAATACCTCGAAAATGTTTTCTTCTTATGTATTGTATTTTTGGGCAGGAGGAAGGAAAGTGCCCCTCTTAAGGGCTCCCCATAGAACATGAGGAGATTTTATGTAGGGCTATGGGGTCCACTAATTTTTTGTGTGTGTTTGAGTTGTAGTTACTTTCTAATGTATGTGATTGCATTATGAAGGTCCGATTGAATGGAAAATATAGCTTACTTTTAATTTGATTTTCAAAAAATTTATATTGGATAATATGATTTATATTTAGATTGACTTTTATGAATAAGCAATTTTGTAAAAGCAGAATTAGGATTATTATTGAAAAAGCAGGTTGAGTGGCAAAATGACCAAAATATTTACATAATATAATTGTTTTAAATTATTATAATAGGAAGAAATTATATTTAATGAATAAAATGTATTTAGATTAGAAATGACAGTAATGTGAAAATTTTTGGACCAAATAATATTAAATGGTCAATTTGATGATATGCTATGTACAATTTATGTAAATATATAATGAAAAATAATATTAAATATTAAAATTATTATTAAAAAATCATGTTAAAAATTATTTTCATTTAAGAGAGCATTAAAAATAAATAACTAAAAACTTGTTGGGAAGCATGAAGAATATGCATAAAAAAGTATAAAGACAATATAAATTGTTTTTACATTAGTCATAAGCAAATTTAAGTTGCTTTTGCAATTGTATTTTTTTTTTTATGAAAAAAACTGCTTTTTGCCTACAAATAAGATTAGTCAAAAGTTTATCCAAACATGAAAAATTAGCAATCGGGCTCAGAAAGTAGTTTATAAGCACTTCAGATGCCAAAAATTTAATTTACTCAATTAACCAAATAACCCATCATAGAATTATTCAACAAAAAAATTAAAAATTTTGAAAACACATTGAGTGCGTATATGTTTATTTATTTATAGAAAAAAATTATATAAAATTCCTTATATAACATTGTAACTCATTTTTAAATTCCGATTAATGCTCTGTTTCTATATAGCTAGTACAAAGTAAAATTCGATTAGTTTTAAGTGGATGAACAAATCAACAATAAACAATAAAATACATAATGAAAAATTGCTTATAAAATTTTGTGAGAAGGGATGGCAAATCTTCACTTGAAGGAAATGCTAGAATGATAAGATGGATGGATCCAAGAGCTTTTATGCCATGGGGTCACTGCCCCATGCCCCTCTCAGTCTCAATAGATTGGTCCAGAAAGTTGTATAATTATATACACTGCTTTGGATCAAGCAAGTGCTTTTTATAGAAAATAAAATATATGATCAACAATTGATAAGAAATCAACTTGTAACTTATAAATTTGTGAATTCAAATTCCGTTACTGATGTAAGAACATTACTAATAGGTGATCTGTAAGCATTTCTGTAAGTGTTCTTTAAGCTTAGAAATATGTCTTGATCCTGATGAACTCCCAAGATCCAACTCATCTAACCTTTTTTTTAAACAAAACAAAATAAAATAAAATAAATATATATTAAAAGATTAAATCGATGAAAAAGAATCCAAATTAACACCCCACACACAAATACGAGAACGTTCAAGCCATAAGGATTTGATCTTTATTTAGTTATGTAATATGTGTTTGAATACGCGCAAAAATATTTTTAAAAGATGAATATAAAAGTATTAAACTATGTGGCCTTATAGCATAAGGCGGCCATCATTAGACAATGTATTTGTTTATTTTCTTTCTTTGTTTGTTTATAAAAATTCCGTTAAAAAAATATAACATAATCATAAAAAAAAGTCTTGAAGCAGTATTAATCATTTTTACATTGAATTACATGATGCTCACTTATTATTAAAATTTTTGGTTTTTTCTCCATATCAAACATTGTCTCAATATTCTCAGAAAAATTAATGAGAACAGTTTTATAACGCCCTACAAAAAAAATAAAAAAATAAAAAAATTCTGACAAGAAGTAAGCAATATTAACCGCCTGTTGTTATTTTCCAAATTAAAATTTGTTATTACATATTATTCACTTATTATTAAATTTTTTAGTGACTATTATTTTTTTCTTGAGACTTCATATAAGCTTCCACCAAAATTATTTTATTAGTTTAGATAGGCACCGAAAATGTGGTCATTTATTTCTGTTTTTATTTGGGGTGCAATAGGACAAATAAAACCACACAAGTATAGACAAATGCATGGATGAACATTAAATTAATAGGGCTACATATGCAGGAAGTAGTGATTGATTAGGGTGTGGAAGTGTTCAAAAGGATATCTAATGGATCATAAACAAAGGCGTAGTTGGCGTCTCACATGGCATGTTCATTTGCTCGCCCTTTTTGACTCGTTGTTCTCTTTCCAGTTTCCTGGAAACACCCACACCTCAACCTTATTCGCCTGTGATATATTTTATTTATTTCTTAAATACGAATGAATCAGTATTGCATACTATACAGATCAAATAATAGTAGGATTAAGATATAAATTTGTTCTAACATTTTGACTTAAGAGTGTTGAGTATCTGAAATTTTTTTTGCATAAATTTGTTTCAAAAAATTTAAAATCATAACAATATTATTTTTTAAAGTTAAAATGTTAATGGTCAATATTATTCATTTGGTCCTAGTTTTAAAACAGAGAGAAAGTTTTTCTCAGTCCTATTCATAAGTCAACTCATTTTAACATGCATGTATTATTTTGTCATTTATTTAGTACAGTGTGGATTTTTTTTTAAAGTATATATATTAACAGAGATGAATTTAGAAAGCTGTTATATTTTAATGCATTTTAAGATTTTTTTTTATTATTAGTATGTGTGAAACATGTTAAAAGCTAAGTTCTTTACTATTTTAATAGTTAGTGTTAGTTTTTTAACGATAATTAAAAGTAATGAATGCCAAGTCAGTTATATTCTTTTATAATAATTATTTATATATTTAGGTTTCGTGTTAATCATCACGTAACATTGGTTTTTTAAGGATCAAATTGCGGTCTAATGGGTAAACGAGAGGGTTATATGTTAATAC